TGATAACTGCGGCGGGGCCCGGAGTCGAACACGTGACCTTATGCATTTAGTCACGTGCCACTCCAATTACGCTGTCTAAGTATAACAAATGGTTCGTGGGGCACAGCGGATCTAATCCTTGATGATTCAAACAACATGCCAGTGAGAGGTTTATTGGTAAGAGTGAATAAAAATATCAAGAAGAATTCAAAGAAAGAAAGGTATATGAAACGAGTGACTGAACCGTGATAGGAAACGACGTGAAGGAAACTCGGCTTGTTAACTTAAAGACAAAGGAAACGAGAAGAACCACCTTCTTTATACACTTTCCATCATAGAGTATCTACCCATTTCTCCTCCTACCAAGTCTCCTATCCAATTCCAACCATAATGTGATACACCCGTGCTTATCCATATCATACCCGAGGCAAAAGATGAGTAGCCATGGGTATAGTGGACTGATGTGCCGAGGTTGGAAGAGTAGGGCCGAGGACCATGAGATTCTCCGGTTATGATTGTCCTTACTATGTTTCGTCGTGAGGCAAGTCGATGTCTGGTATGGTGTTTCGAGATGTGTCTGAGGCTAAGGTAGTGAAACAGTCAGAATGACTAGTTCTAGCCGTATCGCACATCTGTGAACTATGGTCATTGAAGTGGTGAGCAGTTTAAGAGAAGAAACGCAAAAGTCTAACAAGCACAGCCTCTCAACACATGAGTATCATAAGCGCGTAGTCCGCCGGTGCTCGTTGAAGGCAGTGAGGACTGTACTGTACGTAGATAAGTTGAGAACCCTAATACTCCATTTCACAAAAATTAGCCAGTGCACTACCGTAGTTGCAGGTTGGTGGACCGACGCTCAAAGTTGTGAAATTGGGCTCAGCACGGACCGGTCTCCTAGGCATCAATTGGCCACCCCCCCCCCCCCAATCCCCGATTCATGTCCCCAGAGTAAACACCAATGCAACTCTTCTCGGTGCTTGATCGGTATACCGGTATTCCCTGCTCTGCCGCTACAAGATTTCCGCCTTTTACAAGCACTACCCTGCCCGAGCAAAGTACCGTACCGATACTGCGCATGTGTTACGGTACCATGGCACTACCACTATCTTGATGGGCCACACTGCTAGTGCATAACAACCAAACCCAAACCATTCTACGTTACGAACAATGTCGCCAGCCCAACAGGCTAGGATCCTCGAATACGTGGAATGTGCAGACCACCAGTAGCCAGCAAGCCTTGGTAGAATACCGGCAGTTTTGAGAATCTGCCCTGTTTCACCCCCTCATCCCGCGCGCAGTGAATTATTGATTACTTAACTAGCGGACTACCAGTACCGGTACTCGAGTACTTGGAATTGGCCCGTCACTAAATCCTTGACTTGGGTTACTGTGTTCCGCAAGCGGCCAAAGGCTCATCCCACACCGGGGAGAGTGAGCTGGGGGCCCCAGTGACAGAAGTGCGGTACGGCCACCATGTATGATGTTTCTGCTTGAGGCACCAGGAAAGCAACCCTAACCCTATGCAGCTGACTAATCGCAACATAACGCGGCTCTCCGGTGACCAAGGTGCAACCGTCGCATCTTTCTGAAAGCTGACAACCTTTGAGGAAAAAATAATAATCAAAAGATTGACATGAACAATCTGGCTAGCTGATGTTACGTTACCTCCCGCCCGCCACATACTCTCTTCCCTGAACTCCTCACCTCCATATGATCGCCCTTCTCCATGGCCTCTCATCCACCCCTGAGAGCAAGAATATGTCTCTCAATACTGATCCTCCTACAATGTTTAGCAATAGTCTTATGCATGACTCCTTCCCGGAAACTCGAGCTGAGGGAGGAAGCTCGTGTCAGCTTCCGTCACGGTTGGGAAAACTACATGATGCGGGCGTTTCCTCAAGATGAGGTTGGTTCGCCCTTTGCCCCCCTTTCCACCCGTGCACCTCTTTGGTCCATCGTTCTGGGCGAGCTAACTAACTATATAGATTTCAGATCAAGCCTTTATCATGCGCTCCTCATTACCGCGACCGGGATAATCCGAACAACATTGGCCGAAACGATGCAATGGGGGAGTTTTCCCTCACCGCTATCGACACGCTTAGCTCCCTCGCCCTGATGGCGGATAGTAGCGATCTTGATGCGGAGAGGTTTTGGGAAACGGTTGGGGAGGTGGTGAGGATTTATTGGTTTGTTGATTGGTTGGCTTGCGTAACTAAGCTGATGGATTCGAAAGGTACAATGAGCCGAAGGAGTGCGACGCAGTTACCGAGAATTGTGGTGAGAAGACGAGCTCTTGGGGGAGATTTCATAATAGGAGTCGGGAGTCTCGGGGGTTTGATATTGATGCCAAGGTTCAGGTATGTCGTCTCGAATCAGGGCTCAGGCACCTGTCCTAATGTTATATAGGTGTTTGAAACAACGATTAGGACGTTGGGAGGACTATTGTCTGCTCACCTTTTTGCTACCCGCTCATTGGCTTCACTACCCGCCGGTGTACAGCCAAAGTACGAGTATAGAGATGAACTATTAGATCTAGCCTACGATTTAGGCCTTCGGTTACTTCCCGCCCTCACGGAATCTCCCACCGGCCTCCCTTACCCTCGGATCAACCTTCGGTACGGTCTCCCGCACAAGATAAAGAACCCAGCCTACTACAGGTTTCCCCGGCGCGCCCCACACCCACACCCTGACCCTCGGCCATGGGCGCCTGCAGGGGAACATCAGAGCGAGAAGCAATGGGGCAATCCCACAAAGCCCGGGAGTGTGAAGGAAATAGCTTCGGAGGAGATAACCGAGACCTGCACTGCTGGCGCCGGTTCGTTGGTGCTGGAATTTACAACCCTATCCCGGCTAACCGGAGATCTCCGGTTCCAGGAAGCGGCAAAGAGGGCATTCGAGGCGGTTTGGGACCGGCGAAGCGACTTGGGATTGTTTGGCGGCGGAGTCGACGCTGAAAGCGGACTCTGGAATGGGCCCGTCGGGGGTGTAGGTGCTGGAATGGACAGCTTTTTCGAATATGCATTCAAAGCTTTTGTCTTATTCGCTGGAGACGAATTCGGCGAGGATTCGTGGTTTTGGAAAGTCTGGGAGAAAAGCAGTGAGGCTGTCAGGACGCACATGAGAATGGAAATCCCGACTATGTGGTGGAGTAATGTCCACTTCGGCACCGGCGCTCCCGTGCAGGGTGCGTCATCGTGGACGGATTCACTCAGTGCATTTTGGCCGGGATTGTTGGCTGCTAGTGGAGAGGTCGAGGAAGCTACCAGAGGAAATCTGTTTTACTCTGCGTTGTGGAGCAGGTTCTCGGCATTGCCGGAGAGATGGAATTTTAGGACCGGGTCCGTAGAGGGGGGGTTGGGTTGGTATCCGGGGCGACCGGAGTTTGCTGAGAGTACCTACATGTTGTATCGGGCTACTAAAGACCCTTGGTACTTGTATGTTGGAGAAATGATCATTAGGGATCTTAAAAGGAGGTGCTGGGGAAAATGCGGATGGGCGGGACTGCAGGATGTCAAGACGGGTGAAAGACAAGACAGGATGGAGAGCTTTTGGCTTGGGGAGACATGGACCTATTTATTCCTGTTATTTGATGAAGGTCTGTCTGGCTCTTTCTCTCTCTAATACCCGCGTCCTAACAATCCAGACCATCCTCTTCACAAGGGAGACGATCCATGGGTATTCACGACGGAGGGACATCCTATAATCCTCCCCAAATCTAAGCAACGAATTCGGTCATCAGGAACCTATCCCGCGCTACCATTATCCTGCCCCAACCCAGCCCCAACATCGATCCCCTTCTTCTCTACTACTGCTTCTCGTCCCGATGTTTTCCACGCCTCGCACTTTACTAGGCTTCACACTCTCCCAAAGACCCTTCCGACAGAGTTATCACCTCTGCAACCGTCGGATCTCGACATCTACGCAGAAAATTCCTACTTTTGGTCACCCTCCAATTCAACCTTCTACCCTTGGACTCTTCCCCCGTATCTTGTCCCCCCGGGCTCCATCTGCTCCCCCTTACCTGCTCTTGAATCCTTCGATCTCATATTTCCGCAACCCAAAGCACAGCTCTCATCCGCTTCCGGCTCTAGCGATATTTTCGGCGCAGCTACTGCTGGTATGGTGAAACGAGTACAGGGCGGTATCAGTATTTCCGGCAGCATGCGTGGGGTCCGTATGGGAATGACAAACGAACATGGGGTCCTCCGCATAACCAATATTGGAGGGACCTCCTTGGGCAAAAGCGAGATTGTCTTTTTGGAAGACAATGTGATCGATAAGAGCGGCGCAACGATGGACCCCAACTTTCAGATTGTGCTCGATCACGAATACGTAGACTTGATCATACAGTATGCAGACGACATTCGTGCTGCTAAACGCGAGGAGGAGCTGAAGCAAGTGCCAATTATTCCGGAGACAAAAACGGCTCTTGGAGAATTGCTTAGCAGACTGGGGTTTACTAGTCTCGAGACACAACTTAACGATCTGCTCAGCCTATACAACGACGGCGACGGCGGCGACGACGAAGCTGCCCCAACAAGCACTAGCTCTCCACGATTACACGCTTTCGCCGGGATCATTCCTACGGGTATAGGCGCGGCGGGCATTCCAACCACAACACCAGTATTCGCAGACATCCATATCCTCAAATATCCCGCTTGCGCACCCATCCAATCCAACAGCATCCCGAAAACCGCCCAAGTTCTCATTGTTCCCCGGGGTGCCTGCGCCTTCTCCCAGAAGCTCCAGCATATACCGAGTTTCATCCGTCTTGTGATATTCTTGGATAAAAGTACCTCGACACCACAAGACCTTGTTCGGCCGTTGCTGGATAAAGAAAATGAATATGGTATTATGGCGGTTATGGTGGCTGGCGGTGGGAAGGAGTGGGAGAGGGAGGTGGGGAGTCTGACATTGAGGAGGAGGTGGAGTGTTTGGGTCAAGGACACCAGGGTGGGTAATATTGTGGTTTTGTAGAATAGGAATTGGTGTCTGGAGTTTTTGCATTGCTTTACTCATTATTCTACGGTCAAAGGGGGTATGTAGGTATTTATGAGGGCGGGATCGCGTTGTTTGGTGGGATGATACCGTGATGGTTAGTCTGTATGTCAGTGGGGCAGTTCATGTACTGTATGAGAGTCTCACGCTTGGTTTATCGGGTTGACATTAATGATCCTGTTAGGATTTGTCCTAGCCTATTAGAATTAGTGTTTATATTGAGCCGCTCATATTGGTCTGTAAGAACTTCCCGGAGACTAAGGATGCTGAGAGGCGTCATGTACCATACTAGATGCGTCATCCCCAAATCCCCAAAATCGAAACACATGTCTGCTTGCGATTGATTCTCTCTCACTGCTTTTTCCACATAACCAAGGAAGCAACTGCATCCCACATTAGCGCACCGATATCCACCCTGACTTCACTCTTCCTAACTCCCCTAACCTTGTCGGAGATGTCTCGAACGAATAGGTGTTGCGAACATGCTAGTAGAGACCAATCTGGTGCCCGAACCATTTCACCAAGGGCAAAGGACAAGGGTGGTCTCTGCTTGCCGTTTTCAAAAGTCTCCAGAAATCGGGCTTAGCTCGGCGTTTGTCTATCTTTTTAGCTCAACCAGCGGGATCGACAAGAATACCAAGGGGAAAAAAAATTCCAAAATTAGTACAGGTGCTCGAGGAGTGCTGTTAGAGATTTTGAGGTGTTGGTGTTTTGGTGCTTTTTTTCTAATCTAATCGCCCTCTGCTCAAGATGGGCACATACAGGTATCACAGGAAAATAGTGCTGTTGTTCTGTGTTGCCAAGGGATTCTCCGGATTTCGGGATGCTCCTGAAAGCGGCAAGTATCATATTTGGGTCAGTATTACGGAGTCCAGGGGCTATGTAACTTACTGAGGAAGGCGATGATGGTTATTGATAAAAGGGTTCAAAACAGCCAAAGAATTTGAAGAATCTTAGGGGGTGAATAGATATTTATTACCATGGAATGAGTCCCCGTTTTCTGTTTTTATGGATATATTGTATTCAAGATATTGTGGGGAAGGGATGGAATCATCATAAATCACTCGAGATTGCATATTGTCTCAGATTTGGGACACCGGGTTTCCCAAACGAGCTGCCATGGCTCTCGCCATACCCTCCCCGGTAGGTTATGGGCTGTTTCGATCTGTTCTTGGACCTCCGTCTATCATGCCGGTATGATAATCGACGGACACAAGTCTGCCGGTCACTTTTCGGAAGGCTACGGTACTGTACTAGTACTCGTATTACCCCGTAGGATCCTGCTTCTTTTTTTTTTTCCGCCCCCTTCCGCCATACCCGAGCACGATACCGACAGCCTATGATACTGCGGTAGTACTCGAGTACCGTACTAGAGTACCGGTACTGTACAGCACAAGTATCGTAGGCCTTCTCCCCGATCGCACCTGTTGATTAACCCATGCGTACTATACTTGAGTATCAATCAACCCTGTTCCATGCTCTCAACTATAGCCATCGTTTCAGATGGAAGCGATGCCGCTTAAATTCAACCGTCGGTTAGATAGCCTCAGTGGCATCTGCAAATGTTCGCCTAGTGCTTGTCCCTTATCCCAACTCCAAAAAATCTTCCCCCTCCTAACCACTAATCCCTGAAAGTCCGGCGAGTCATGTTGCACAGTATATGCCGGGAACGAATACCGGTACTCGAGTACTACTCGAGTATCGGCGGCCCGCTCGGCAGTGCGGGGTAGTAGAGCGACCTTGGCGAAATTTATCCCCGGGCAAGAAGACACCAATGAGCCGTCGGTAGGTTATGCAACTTGTGTAGTACCTAGGTATGTTACAATACACCCATTTCGAGGATTGTCTATGTTAGGCGCAGTGCAAGATTTTTATAGTGAGGATTGGCTGGTAGGCGTGAGTATATTGGCGCTGCTTTCTGGTTTCTTCCCTCCTTCCTACTTCCAACACAACGGACGATGCTACCACGGGTGTGGTATCTAATGGTAATGGCTAAAAGGGCAACGGCTAAATCCCGAATTAGAAAAGCCCAACAACCCAGGAGAGATGGACTGCGGAGGGTTTGAAGGTGTTTGATCTGCCTTAGCGATTAGGGGGTTACTGGTGGGTCAGGAGGTGGGGGGTAGATTTGGTGTGGGGTGCAGAAGACCGAAATGATAACCGCAGCTAAAAGGAGGAGAAAAATGTGAATTATTAAACTGGAAAAAAACCTAGCAGATGACCACAGGCAGGGGGACCCGAATGTGGGGAACGGGAGGTAAGACAATGGCAAATTCATATAGTGATGATCTCGAATACATTCTAGTGAGCTTTTTCAGGAGGATTTATATCCCGTGGATCTTGGCAAGATAACCCGTTGGCACCCTTCGCATTTTACCCCCAGGATGGGCAATCCGGCATCCCGAAACCTCGACTGTACCACCGAAAAAAAACAAAAAAACATTAGGAATCACTAAACCCCTTGGGGCCGTGCTGCGAAGATCGTGATTCTAAATAACGAGTCCCCGGAATAGATCTCTGAGGTACTGTAACAGAATTATTGATGGTGGAGAACAGCTGCCACGAATGTTGCATCGAGGTCCAATACAAAAGATGTACTGTACTTTGCTCCAGCGCACAGCTCAAACCTCTGCTACTAGCCCTCATATGAGGGCTGCAAATATAAAATGACCGAAATTGTGCATTGTTGATGTAAGACACTAGTGTGCCGTCAACTTTCGCCAATGCCATAGAATATGTCTCTCCATTTTATCCGACTTTGCTCGTCTGAGGAACTTCTGTAGACTGACCGATGAGTTAGGTGTAAACTCGCCCGACGAGCCAGTGCGGGTACCCTACCGGTATTGTAACAGAGTTCCCGAGAGCAGTAATGAGCTAGTGTTTGCTCCGGGTTTCCGGCCCGCGGTGGAGAACCGATACCTGTGGAAGAGAGGAATGGGGGATACGCGAGAGTCTACTGTGTGCTGTGCACTGATCGAAAACACCGATCCTATCATCTGATACTTAGCTAGTTTGATGAGTTATTCCTATCCTAAAATCTGCCCCCTAGAAAGAAGGAGGAGTCCTGACCCGCCGGGGAAGAATGGGGGAAAGAGGGAGGAGCCGTCCAAGTGCAAAAAAAATCAGCAAATATCGATGATTTACTCAGTGATAATTAAGCTTCCTACGATATATAATCGAGGGCTTGGAATGGGACTGAAAGTCTCGGGCCAAGAGAAAAATAACTGCCTAATTCCTCGAGGTCTCGAGGGGCCTATACAAGCGGAGATGTACGGTAATTCCACGTGCAGGACCTTTTTCTGTTTAGAAGTCTTGTTTTGTATTAAAAAAAAAAAGAGCTATCTATAGTAACGCCGTATACCCAGCCCTTTTATTCCTCACAGCCCCACAATTCCCTTCCCCCTGGTCGCCAGTCCTTGCCCAAGCTCAATGCATGCTCCGACAAACTTCATGGCTTCTCACTCGATATAAAGTAACCCCTTGAAAACCCTCCTGGCGAGAATTCCAATATGGGGTGCTTACTCGGAGGACTGCAGAGATGATCAGGAATGTCTTGCACAGGATGTATGCTTGGCGCTTTCCCCGGTAGCACTACTACGGGCTATACTATAGGGTAAGGTAGCATTAGAGATATGCCGAAACTCTGAATATCAACCTTCTTCATCCCCCAAAGTTCCCTCCATGCGTCTGAGGAAAGAGGGAATCCCCATCCCACCCCCAGAGCACTCGCCATTCTTTCCATGTGTAGCTATAAAGAAATATTCCCCGAGTCAGCAACACGGTCCGCCGGTCAAAGGCACCCCCCGGGAAAGCGAATTTGATTACCGTGGGACATTTACATACATGGGGGACGCTGCCGGTTTGTGCTAGGCCTTTGCCCTAGAGAACTACTGGCGGGCGGATCATGCAAGTGGTGGGAGGGGGGGTAGAAATTAGGCCCTGGAGGAGAGCTGAAGGCGAGATATCTAGCTCTGCAACTAAATCTTGTAACTAAATATTTATAGAAATGGAGGAGAGCTGGTGATGCAGGTTGGAGTCGGCTTCAGGAAGCGTTCCTAATGGCCCAATTCGTCCTGTTTGGAGGTAGGAAGGGACGATCCATGACGGGATAGGCACAATGGTGCTGCTCTTTTTTTCCTGGAGGCGGGACAAAGGTCTGGAAAGACTATATTCCAGGAGCCCGATATGATGCGAGCAACCCCTCAAACTAGCCACCGTCCCTGTCATTTCTAGAGTCAATTATTCCTTCTATTGCGGCAGCCTACCCCCACAGCTATCACCCAAGTTGCGGGTATTAGTTGTGGCCCGACTGAATTTCCGCTTAAGCTTCGTTCCTTCCTTCCCTTAGTAAATACTTTCCACTCCTATCGAGCAAGGTGATATGAATACCGCCCTGGTCCCTCAGATTGCTCGGGCGGGTGTCCGAACAGGCCCAGCGCCCTCGTAATTGAAGCAGCAGATAAAATCCCAGAATTGCCCTGCGGGCGCAAAGTGTATTCTCAATTTGAACCTTGAGGTTTTACACATTGGTAAATCCATCCTACTTGTTTGTTCAGCCTTCGGAATGAATATACCGATGCTGTGTTCATGAGACATCGCTCGGACAGATCACAGGTCCCGCTTCCTTCGTCTTCCCCCCACCACTGCCCGCCGTTTTCCCACCTTGTTGGGCTACCGCGCAACCCAAATATGGCCTTCCTGTGGTAGCGCCGTGCTACGCCGACCATGAGGAGCCGTCAAGTGCGGCACTGAGTCACTTGCAGTTCCTCTCCCGGACCTCGTAGTGTGCTTCGGCTCCTAGAAGCACTCTTCCTGTATTTCGGGTTACTGATGTTTTTGTTGCGGGTTTTTCTCTCGCTTCTTTGGTCACGAACCTACGGTTAGCTGCGTTGTGGTCCAGATTGCGTTGGTCCCGGATTCTAAGGTTGGGTTCTGTTGAGTGTGTATACGGGCAATGACCCTTGGTGTGATGTGCACCGGTGGAAATGAGAGTTTGGATACCTGTCTTCAAGGGCGGGGGGGGGGGGGGTGGAGACCGGCAGGTTATGAGCAAGAACAATGAGGGGTTTGAAATTAGAGCATGTGGTAACATGTTTGGTGTTTGGTGTTCAGCTAGCGAGCTCGCACTTGAGAACAGTAATGAAGCCCCCTTCTCCACTTTCAATGTCCCCCTAGTCTCCCAACCTTTCCCCCACACAACAGGTCCAGCCCGCCCACTAAAGGGCCCCCCAGTAGG